CCTGCCGATTCCTTTAAGGGAAACACCAGGGGGGTGGGAGGGAGGGAGGGAGGGAGGGAGGACAGGAAGCTGGGCTTCCTTCAGGGACCAGCCTCTCACTGGCCCCCTCCCAGCCCAGGCCCCGCAAGGACGGACCCTGGGAGGTCACTCTGGCAGCCCTCGGCCCTTGGCCTTTCTCTCTAGCTGCTGGTGGGAGGAGAGTGCTGGAAAAGGTGGCCGCTTTGTTCTCTTGAGTTCTGAATTCATCCCTTCAGTATTTGAGGAGGAGAGCCAGCCTGCCTCCATTCAGCTGAGTCGCCCATGTGTGTGTGTGTGTGCGCGCGCACGCACACACACACACACCCTGCGGCCATCACCCCTGCCACGTAGGGACCTTTAGGGTGGGTGGGTCAGGGACCCTAAGCCATGTGTCCAGATGGGCTTGAGCCCCATGGGGTCAGCCTCCGTTCCTCCCGTCTCTCTTCTCTTCCCCCATAAGACTGACCCCTGGAAGTCCTACATCCCCAAGGGCACCACCGTCACCCGACGGAAGACCTTCAGGGAGATCGCCAAGTAGGTGCTCTCTGGGGGGTGGGGGGTGGGCCGGGGGGGAAAGGTGGAATGTCCTGCTTCCCGGGAGGGAGCAAGCCTTCCCAAAGGGATGGAGCTTCCATGGCCAGCTGCAGCCTACCTCTCATTGGTAGAAAGGCCGCTAGGGGGTGGGTGGGACAAAGGAGGCCAAGGCTGAGCCCTTTGCTCTGGCCTTCGAGGGCCCCAATCCCATCATGTGCAATGTGATCCCTGGCTTGGCCCCAAGGGAGGGGGTCACACAGAGAACCTGGGACCCTTCTCCCCAACCGAGCCATTGCCCCCCCTCCCCACCCTGAACATGCCCGATCTGGTCTGGTCTCGGAAGCTAAGCAGGGTCGGGCCAGGTTCATACTTGGAAGGGAGCTGGCTAGCCTTCCTGTGCTTGCTAGGCCTTCCTGGCTCGCAGGTGGACTCCCCCCCCCCTGCAGGGGTGGGTTCCCTGCCCACCCCCCAGAAGAGAAAAGGGTTTGGGTCCAGAGCACCTTCCTCTCTACCTCCCCCCTCTCCCCCCCGGCAGTGCAGTCAAGATCTCAGCGAAGCTGATGGGCCACGTGATGGCGCGGCGGGTCAAGGCCACCATCCTGTATGCCTCTGAGACAGGGAAATCCCAGGCCTACGCCATGAACCTCCAGCAGCTGTTCAAGTGTACCTTTGCTCCCCAGGTAAGCCAGTGGAGGTGGGCAGAAACGGAAGCAGCTGTGTGGGGGGGCCTTGAACCCTTTCCCTCCCTGAAGGCTGGCCACATAGGGGTGGGCAGGCGCTCCAGATCAAGGGAGGCACCCAGTGGCATTCAGTTCCTTAGGCCCACAATGCCTGGGGCAAAGTTTCCCTCTTGCAGGGCTCTTAGCTGAGCTCCTGGGTGGGTCCAGGTCTGTGTGTGTGTGTGTGTGTGTGTGTGCGCGCGCACGTGCGCATGCACGCACCAGCGGGTATGAAGGGTGGAGGTCCACAGCAAAAAGCACAAAGCACGCCAGCCACCCAGGGGCGATGCTGTCAGCTGCTGCTCTCAGGGGTCGGGTGGGGCCTTGAGTGTTACTGTGCAGCCCCCCTGCCCCACATCCTTAGCCCCACGTCCCACCTGCCCCTCTCTCCCCCCCTTCCCACCGCAGGTGCTCTGCATGAGTGACTATGACGTGGTGTCCCTGGAGCACGAGACCCTCGTGCTGGTGGTGACCAGCACCTTCGGCAACGGGGACCCCCCCGAGAATGGAGAGGTGAGGGCTGTGCATGCACCGGGGGGGTAGGGAGGGGTCTCTTTCTTGTTCTTTTGGGGGCTGGGACCCCCAGAGGCACCCCAGGAGGAAAAGGGCCCCTGGAGGGAGTCACAGAAAGCAGCTGGGCTATTGGTGGCTGGCAACGTTTCCTGATGGTTTCTGTTCTGTTACTACGGTCTGCAAATTTCTGGAAGGGTGAGGTGACGCTGGTGGAGATGAATTCCCTCCCCTCTCGGGGTGAGGAGGGCTTGGAAGAGGTCAAGGGATGATGGCGCCTCTGAGTGTCCAGAGGCAGCCTCCCTCACCGCCAGCAGGCATTCAGCCCCTCTGCACCTCCTTCGGCTCAGCCCCTGCTCTCTCTCTCTCTCTCTCTCTCTCTCTCTCTCTCTCTCTCTCTCTCTCTCTCTCTCTCCTCCCCAGGGCTTTGCCAAGGCCTTGATGGAAATGTCATGTCCTTATCTGGAAGCGACCGAGCCAGAGATGCAAAAGTATGTCCTGCAACCCTCCCATCTTCTCCCAGGAGGTGGATTCAGATCCCCTTCTCCTTCTGATTTCCATGGCCTTCTCTCTTTGGAACTTTGAGAAATTAATCTCAAAAAAAAACCCAACCCCCCCCCAAAAAATACAGAACACCTGGGTGAGTGTTTCATTCTGCACCTGTTCTCCAAGCCCTGTCCCTGTGAGGTCCTCTTTCCAGGAGACAGGCGGGTCCTGCCAGAAAGTTCTTTTCAATCAGCCTTTGGCTTTGAGCAGAGCCACTGCGTTGCCCGAGGGTAGCGAAGCAAATTTAAATCCACGTGCTGCTTGCAGAGCCCCAGCATGGGCGCCGAAGGGTTCTTCCCTGGACCTTCCCTGTGTGGACGGAAATGGCTGGCCATTTAGGCTTCAGTCCTGCATGCACAGGCTTGGGTTGCGCATCAGCCCCAGTGAACGTGCCGGCACCCGTCTCCGACTCAGCGCACACAGAACTGTGCACAGCAGGCAGAAGAGAAGCCATCGCCCCACTTTCTGGCAGAGAGTTAGACCAGGGCTAGATCGGGGGTGGGGGGTGGGGGTGTGGGTGCCCCCCTTGAGGACTGCTCCCGCTGCCAGGGATCTGCCCCTGAGCGCCAAGGGCCCGACCGGAAGGCCCTTTTGCTCCACATTCCAGCCGTGGGTCAAAGGTTCATCTGGGGGGCAAGGCTGTGGCCCCTTTGGGGATGCCGGCGTTCCCATCCCGGGTCCATCCCTCCCACCAGATGCAGGCCTGTAGTCCGGGACAGCGCTGTGGGTCAGGCGGGGCCTCCCTCCCCTCCCCTCCCCTCCCTGTCCACATGCATCGTTCTCTTGGCCACCTTCCTGGCTGATTAGCGGGCGCTCCACGCAGCGCCCAGGGGAGCGTGGCCGTGGTGATTGGCAGTGAGCTACATGGGCCGGATGAGGCTGGACAGGCCGATCCACCCGAGGGGCCTCGGTCCCGCTTCGCACCCAGCTCCCTCCCAGCCGGACTCGCAAAAGGCTCACCTCCAGCCTCCAGGAGCGGAGACTAATGGTGTCGTCCCTTGCTGGGGGGGGGAGGTCTTGGGGGGGGCAGAATTGCGCTCCCCTCCCTGCTTCCTCTTCAGGGACTCTCTGTTGCTCCAGACATCACCGGGTAAGAAGAGGAATGGTTTAAATCTTTTCCTCTCCTTTCCTAAATGCTTGCACCTCCCTGATCTCAAACATGCCTCTCCTCTGTTTTCGGCGCTGGAGGTCTGCTTCGGGCTATGCTCAGATTTATTTACAAATATTTGTTAACCACGTACAGTACGTTTGGGGACCTCAAAGTGGTGCTCTGCAGCAGACACTGACCAGATAGCATGGTGGGTTGAAGCCCCCCCCCCCCGGGCAGGATTTTGATTCCCCAGGAGAGAAGCACTCCCCCCCCCGCCAATTGCCCTTGGGTAAGCTGCGTGACGATCCCAGAGCAGCCCCTGCAGAAGGAATGAGGAAAATCATCTTTCATATCTAGGAAACCCAGCGAAGGATTTTCTGGCCAACATACAGATCCATGTGTTCCTGCGTTGAGCAGGGGGTTGGACTGGATGGCCTTGCAGGCCCCTTCCAACTTCACTTTTCTCTGACTCTATGCAAGCAAAGCACATTGGGCACAGAGGCCGAGGACCAGCGGGCGATGGCGCCATCCGAGGGAGACATCCTGTGGGGGGGGGCCTGCGATGAGCCAGAAACCCCAAACACAAGGCACCTGATCCTGAACCACAGGCTGCTATGCAACGCATGGGCTGTGGGGCCCTTGAGTGGGCTGGATGGAGCCAGCCCCCTCCCTTTTAACTCTCTCTCTCTCTCCTCCCCCCCCCACCAGGAGCTACAAGATGCGCTTCAACAGCATCTCCCAATCTGACCCTTCTGTGGCGCTCTGGAGGAAGAAGCGCCGGGAGTCCAGCAACACCGACAGCGCTGGATCCCTTGGAACCCTTCGGTAGGACCGGAGGGGAGGCCACGGGGAAGGCTGCTGGGGCACGAGGGGCCCACACAGCCCAAAGCCTGGCTCAGGGGAGGGTCCTGGGGTGGAAGAGAGCCTCAAGGACTCTGCTCGTGCCGAATGGGCAAGAGGTGGCGTGCATCACAAAACATTTTTGGAAGGGGGTGTGTCTGTCTGTCTTTGCAACCAGCCCATGGAAATCAGCCTCCTCCTGGCTGGCATGAGTGACCAGCGTTCAGAAGGTCTGAGCTGAGCTGAATTCAGGCCAGGCGAGGGGAGCTCTCCCTACTGGCTTTGCGTCCTTTGGATCCTTATCCCTTTCGGCTCCAGCAAGGAACAAGAGGCAGGAGAGCTCAGACGGATGGCGCCAAACCTCCAAGGCCAGCTGGCCTTCCGGGTGCAAGACGGCCAGTGCGGGGTTGCAGGGGGCGGATTGCCTTCTGAGCCCCACTGGGAGGAGGAGGAGGGTGGTGGTGGTGGTGCTGGTGCCCCCCCCACCCCCACCCTTCACCCTGCTGGCCCTTCCTTCCTTCCTTCCTTCCTTCCTTCTTTTCTAGGTTCTCCGTCTTTGGGCTGGGCTCCCGCGCTTACCTCCACTTCTGTGCCTTTGCCCACGCGGTGGACACTCGCCTGGAGGAGCTGGGGGGCGAGCGGATCTTCCCCATGGGGGAGGGGGACGAGCTGTGTGGCCAGGAGGAGTCCTTCTGCACCTGGGCTAAGGGCGTCTTCCAGGTGGGCCGGCTCGCCCTGGCTCTCTTGGGGGGTGGGGGTGGGGATGCAAAGATTGTGTTCCATGGGGGGCTTAGGATTCTATTTCTGGGGTAGGAGGAATCATCCCTTGCCCCCCTCTGCTCTCAGGAAACGTGGCTGCCCTTTGTCGGGGGAGGCAGAGCCGTGGCTTCACCAGCTGACTGAACTAGGAGGGGGCCAGGGGCTCCCTTGAGGGCAGGGTGAGCATCTGCCCCTCAAAAATGTCCCGGGCGGAGGAAGGCGGGTGTGTTTGCCAGCCCTTCAGCATTTGATCACAACGCTTGCAAGGGCCACATGCCTTCCCCTCCCTCTCTTGACGTGGGCTGGGTGGGCTTTTCCCAAACCAGTTCCTCAGCTATGGTGGCTTTCTCAGGTCCCCCCTCTTCTGAGATCAGGGCACCCCGGCTGCTTCTGCCCCTTAGCAGCCTCCCCATGTGGGGGGGGGGGCACATCCAGGACAGGTCCAGGGGAACTGGCAGAGCAGTCCATGCCAAGTGGTGCCGCAAGGGTAGAAGGTGGGATGCCCTGGTGCTCCCCCCCCCATTGCAGGATCTGGCCAGGCCCAACTCTGCTGAGCTGCCAGAGTCAGAGGAGCTTGGGTGCCTCGTCAAGGCATGCGGGCACAGAGAGAGGCACCGTTCCTGGCAAGGAAAGGCAGAGGCCACCAAAGCCAGGAGCCCTCCAGCCAGAGAGAGCCCACGAGCCGGGCAGCCTGGCAGGCGGAGAGAGCGTGGGCAGGGGGATGGTGCCACCTGGTGGACAGCGGAGGGAGCGCACCCCCTGCTGCCTGATGGTGGTGGGTGTCCATTCCAGCTACTGGGGGCCCGCCAGGGGTTTGCCCGTTTCAGAGGGGATGACCCTCCACCCCTTCCAGCTGGCGGCCTTATTGCACCCACCCTCCCCCACCCCCCAGAGGGCCATCAGCTCTGACCCAGCTCAATGAACACGGAACACGCCCCCAGGTTGGGAGAGCCTTTTCCTGGCAGACAAGTTGCACCCCTTTGCCCTTGGCGCCCCCACAACCGGCCTTGTCGCTGCTGCCGGGCTGTCCTCCCTGACCCTCTGCTCCCCCACCCCACACCTGCCCCCCCTCCAGGCGGCCTGCGAGACCTTCTGCGTGGAGTCTCAAGCCGAGACGGCAGCCTCCGAAGTCTTCACCCACCGCCGCACCTGGAAGCGCAACCGCCACCGCCTCCTGCCCCACCCGGGCTCCCTGGACCTCCTGGCAGGTATGGCTGGCCGAGGGGGCTGCGGGCACCCACCTCCCCAGCCCTCAGCGGCCGGCTCTCTTTATAGGCTTCCCAGCCTTGCCTCCCTCCCACCCTCCCTCCCTTTCGGCTGCTCTGGAGGAGCCCCCGGCTGTGCGCCCTGCGCTGAACGGATCTTCCCCTCTCGGGCTCCCTGAAGAAGGAGCTCCAGGTAGCCTGAGGTGGAACGTGCGGGGGGTGCGCACCTGTCTAAAAGGCAGGATTTGTGCTGAAGACTCCGGCCCCCTTGTTCCATCAAGAGTGTGGGAGAGGGCAGGGAGTCATCTCCTGATACTGAGGGAGCACTCTGCACATTCCCAGAGGCACTCCCTCTGATTCCCTCACCTATTCCTGGTTCAGATCCCTCAGCGTTGGGAGTATGCAGTTTT